TGGCAGGAGAATTGCCTGAACCCAGGAGGCGGAGGTTGCGGTGAGCCGAGATCGCGCCATTGCACTCCAGCCTGGGTAACATGAGTGAAACTCCGTCTCAAAAAAAAGAAAAAAAATATATATATATACACCGGGTTCAGGGGTGCATGCCTATAATCCCAGCACTTTGGGAGGCCGAGGTGGGTGGATCACCTGAGGTCAGGAGTTCCAGACCAGCCTGGCCATCATGGTGAAACCCCATCATTTTTTTTAAAAAAAGAAGAAACCTTATCTCTACTAAATACAAAACATTAGCCGGGCATGGTGGCGGGTGCCTGTAATCTCAGCCACTTAGGAGGCTGAGGCAGGAGAATCACTTGAACCCGGGAGGTGGAGGTTGCAGTGAGCCGAGGTGACACCATTGCACTCCATCCTGGGCAACAAGAGTGAAATGCCATCTCAAAAAAAAACAAATATATATATATATGTGTGTGCGTGTGTATATGTATACACATACACACAGAGGGCAGTCACAGTGGCTCACGCCTGTAACCCCACCACTTTTGGAGGCTGAGGCAGGCGGATCATTTGAGGCCAGGAGTTTGAGACCAAGCTGGGCACCATGGTGAAACCTCATCTCTACTAAAAATACCAAAATTAGGCCGGGCGCGGTGGCTCACGCCTGTAATCCCAGCACTTTGGGAGGCCGAGGCGGGTGGATCACAAGGTCAAGAGATCGAGACCATCCTGGTCAACATGGTGAAACCCCATCTCTACTAAAAATACAAAAAATTAGCTGGGCATGGTGGTGCGTGCCTGTAATCCCAGCTACTCGGGAGGCTGAGGCAGGAGAATTGCCTGAACCCAGGAGGCGGAGGTTGCGGTGAGCCGAGATCGCGCCATTGCACTCCAGCCTGGGTAACAAGAGCTAAACTCCGTCTCAAAAAAAAAAAAAAAAAAAAACCAAAATTAGCTGAGTGTGGTGGTGCCTGCGTGTACTTCTAGCTACTTGAGAAACTGAGGCATGAGATTTGCTTGAACCTGGGGGGCAGAGGTTGCAGTGAGCAGAGATCGAGCCACTGCACTCTAGCCAGGCCAGGCACGGTGGCTCACACCTGTAATCTGAGCACTCTGGGAGGCCGAGGTGGGTGGATCACCTGAGGTCAGGGGTTTGAGACCAGCCTGGCCAATGTCGTGAAACCCCCGTCTCTACTAAAAATACAAAAAAAATTTGCCGGGTGTGGTGGTCCACGTCTGTAATCCCAGGTACAAAAATTAGCCAGCCATGGTGCGTGTGCCTGTTAATTCCTGCTACTTGGGAGGTGGAGGTTGGAGCAAGACTCCATCTCAAAAAAAAAAGAAAAAAAAAAGGTATCTCTGGAAAATATGTCATGATCTATGGGGAAAAAAAATTTTTTTTGAGACCATTTCACTCTTGTTACCCAGGCTGGAGTGCAATGGTGCAGTCTTAGCTCACTGAAACCACCTCCTGGGTTCACGTGATTCTCCTGCCTCAGCTCCTGAGTAGCTGGAATTACAGGTGCCCACCACCATGCCCAGCTAATTTTTTTTTTTTTTTTTTTTTGAGACAGAGTCTCACTCTGTCGCCAGGCTGGAGTGCAATGGTGTGATCTTGGCTCACTGCAACCCCCAACTCCCTGGTTCGATTCTCCTGCCTCAGCCTCCGAAGTAGCTGGGCTTACAGGCACGTACCACCACGCCCAGCTAATTTTTGTATTTTTAGCAGAGACAGGGTTTCACCATGTTGGCCAGGCTGGTCTAATCTCCTGACCTCGTGATCGGCCCACCTCGGCCTCTGAAAGTGCTGGGATTACAGGCGTGAGATTTTTGTATTTTTAATGGAGATGGGGCTTTGGCACGATAGTCAGGCTCGTCTTGATCCCCTGACCTTAGGTGATCCACCTGCCTGGGCCTCCCCAAGTGCTGGGAATACAGGCACCCCAGGAGATGGTCTGCCCCTTCCACCTTGGGTTTAGGATCAGCAACTCATGGAGAAGGTCCTGGGATGGAATGTTTTGAAAGCATTTTGAGGCTGGACATGGTGGCTCACGCCTGTAATCCCAGCACTCTGGGAGGCTGAGATGGGCGGATCACCTGAGGTCAGGAGTTCAAAACCTCACCTCTACTAAAAATACAAAAAACTAGCTGGGAGTGGTGGCAGGCACCTGTAATCCCAGCCACTTGGGAGGCTGAGGCAGGAGAATCACTTGAACCTGGGAGGCAGAGGTTGCAGTGAGCCGAGACTGTGCCATTGCACTCCAGCCTGGGCGACAAGAGTGAAACTCGATGTCAAAAAAAAAAAAAAAAACCAAGAAATAAATAGCATTTTGGGTCCCCCTACATTTCGGGACCTTCTGTGGCTCCCTGGCTGCCCCCACAACCCACATTCCCTCCCCTCTGGGGACTCTGCCTTCCTCCAGGTGCTCCCCATGTGCGGGAGGCTCCCTAGCCACTCCAGCTGTCTCGTGTTAGATCCCATTCACCCTCCCAGAACTGAAGTGCTTACACAGCAGGTGCAGCCCACACCAAAGCCAGTCCATGGGCTGCTGCTCGCAAGCCTGGGGTAGAAGGGGCAGATCATCTCCTGGGGTGCCTGCACCGGTGGGCAAAGACCCTGAGGCCCAGGAGAGTTGGTACGGAGTAGGGCCAGGAGGGTAGAGAGGCTGAGAGGGGACAGCGATGGCCTGTCCTTAGCCCCATATTCCAGGCCGTGGCCTGTGGGGGGAGGGCAGGCCCACCCCAAAGAACTCAGTTCAGTGGCACGTGGCTCTGTGGTCATGGCCCGCAAGCCCCGAGCACATCTGCCCAGTAAGGCAGGGGTTGGCTCATGAACAGCAGAAAAACAAGCCCCGAAGAGCTGAGGGATTGTGCAAGCTGCTCAGGGCATCAAGGCAGAGCCATGACCCTGCAGGGGAAGCCAGGGCCGCTGTCACCCCCAAGCTGGGCTCACTTCCTGCATTCATTTGTGAAGCCAGAGGCTACTAATCCTGGCCTTGCCAGGCCAGGCACCAAGCCACACAAGGACAGAGCCCTGATTACCCAACCTCCGTTTCAGATCAGCCTCTCTGTTTGGCGGCAGTGTTTCTGCTGCTCGGCCGGACTGCAGTGGCGCCATCATGGCCCTCTGTAACCGCAGCCTCCTGGGCAAGTGACCCTTTCCCTCAACTTCTCAAGTAGTTGAGACTACAGGCACACACAGTTAGTTTTTTAGAGATGGTTGGTCTCAAACGCCTGCCTCAAGTGACCCTCCCTCCTCGGCCTCCCAAGTGCTGGGATTATGAGCACCAGCTGCTGTGCCCAGCCTGTTAGCCATTTTTCGGGGGTGCTCAGGAGCCTGGACACTGTTCGAGGCCCACAGGAGGGGGCCCCCGGCAGCTGTGATGCCCGGACTCCCCAGCTCATGCTCATCCTGCACCAGAGACCCTTCCCCAACACCGCATGGCCCACGCTTCAGCCCCACACCTGCTGTCCGTGATGGGAACCTGCACAGGCGACCCTCTGACAAACTGCTCATGGGATACTTGAGAGATGTGTAAAAAGGCTTTATTTGCAGGGGAACAGGAGTTTAATCAAAGAGGCCAAATCCCATGTCATCATCTGACTCTTCAGATTCCTCCTTCTTTTCATCTTTCTTCTCCTCTGCTGTGGAAAAGAGAGCATGTTGCCAGGCCAGCCCCCCCAGTAGTGAAGACCCCCGACATCAGTCTGAGCCTCAGCCCTCTGCCCACTCACCACGCCCCCACTTACCGGCAGCGGGGGCGGAACCAGCAGCAGGAGCTGCAGAGCCTGGGGCAGCAGAGATGGTCACAGCCCCACCGGCAGGTACGCTGGCAAGCTTGCCAATACCTACAGAAAGCAGAGAGAAGCTGAGATCAGAGCAGCTGCCCAGCCCGGAAGGCTGTTCCACACAGAAGCTAGATGACACCAGGCATGGCAGTATGCCCAATGTACCTGGGCCCCACCATACGGTTCCAGTGCCTCCCTCCCTCCCCAGCCACTCCTCAACATTTACTATCAGGGACTTCTCTTCCCCACCTTTCCTATCCAGCGACTAACCTTCCAGAAATCAGGTGACACTGCCCACCTCCCCACTTTCGCCACCTCCACCCTCCGAGGTCCACCGGACAAACATGTTTAGAGGCAGGTAGGCAATGAGTGTGCTGCCCCAGCGTCCAGATCTCTGGCCACAGCGATGTGCTCATGGCTTGGCCCGTTTGCTGAGCTGGCCCTGTCCTGGTCATGTGCACGGAGGACAGCAACAGCTATCCCACCAGCTCAACTTCCAAACAAGTTCCACCAGCTCAGCTGATGTCAACAGAAAACCATCTGCCCAAGAGACAAGAAGCCTGTGGTCACCCCTGGCACTTAGTCCCCACCCACAACCCCCTTCACAGAAAGCACATGATAGAAATGTTTACGCGAACCCAGTTCTCCAGACACCAAGCTTCGGAGGAATCCTAGGAAATGGCCTCAGTGTGCCCCTACTGCCTGCTCCTGGCGTGTCTAGAAGCGCCCACGGCGTGAGCCCACTGGAGCCCTGCTCACTCCTCGGGGGAGGCTTCTCGGGTGCTCTGGTCCACAAGCGAAACCTGGCAGGTCACAGGCTGACCGGCAGGGATTAGGATGGACCCTGAAAACAAACCAACGTCTCCTCCAGAGAAACTCACCCTGGGCAATCACGTCCTCAATGTTCTTTCCGTTCAGCTCGCTGATAACCTGGAGAAGACAATCGCACAGCTGCTACCGGAGATGTGCAGCTGCAGCCCCAGCCTTACCGATCCCTTCTAGAGTCACAGCAGGACTGGGTACACCACATGGGAATACGCCCTGGAGTTTCTAGACCTGCGCTGCCCTAAGGGAGCCACCAGCCTCACTGGTTAAGTGGTACGAGAAATGGAATCCAGCATTCTCAGACTCAACGTTGAGAGAACACACACCATCTCACCCTCTGCTGACTATTCATACCTGTCTTAAACATGGGCAAAATAAGGCGGGTCTGAAACTGGCTTTGACTTCAGGCTGGAGTGCACTGATGGGATCTCGGGCTCAAGTGATTCTTCCACCTTAGCCCGGGACTACAGGCATGAGCCACCACACCTGGCTCTGCCGGCCTGCAGGCGCGTGATCACTACTCACTGCAGCCTGGACCTCCCAGGCTCAAATCATCCTCCCGAACAGCGGGGACTACAGATGCCCACCACTGACTAATTTTCTTTTTAACTTTTCGCGGAGGCCCGGTCTTGAGGTGTTTTCGAGGTTAGTGTGGAACGCCTGAGCTCCAATCATCCACCCGCCTTGGCCTCCCGGAGCGCTGGGGGAGCCAGCACCAGGCCTGCCTGTTTTTCAAGCAATCTCATGCATGCCATCTGTACTGAACCTCCAACGCTCCTTCGTCTCGACCTTGCCTCATCCCCACCTTGCTTCCTTCATTTGTCGTTTTGAGACAGTCTTGCCCCATCACCCAGGCTGGAGTCTCCTGCCTCAGCCTACCAGGTAGCTGGGATTACAGGCGCCCACCCCCACACCCGGCTAACGTTTGTATTTTTAGCAGACACGGGGGTTTCACCACGTTGGCCACGATGGTCTCGAACCCCTCCTGACCTCAGGTGATCCGCCCGCGTCCGGCCCCCACCCTGCTTGCTTCTCTACCCAAGAAATCACCACCTGGACTGGCACAAGCCGCGCCCCGGACCCTCCGGCCGGAGACCGGCCACGGGCCGCGCGGCGGCCGCGGGGCAGGGGCGGCAGCTACCTTGTTGAGCCGGTCGTCGTCCGCCTCGATGCCGACGCTGTCCAGGATCTTCTTGATGTCCTTGGCGCTCGGGGAAGGGTTGCCCCCGAGGGCGGCCAGCAGGTAGGAGGCGACGTAGCGCATCCTGAGACGGGCGGAGAGCGCGCGACGGCGGAGTTACCCCGGCGGCCTCCTGCCCACCCCGGGGCCCCCGGGCGAGGCCGCGCGTGGCTCGGCCCCTACGCCTCTGCCCCAGAAAGACCCCGCCCCGCGGCCCGCCGCCCACCCCGCATCCCCACGGCCCCGCATCCCCACGGCCCCGCATCCCCAGCCCCAGCCCGCACCCCGGGCCCGGCCACCGCACTCACGCGGCGGCGTCGGAGAGGCCTCACGCGTGCGACCTCGGCGGCGTCAGGGAGGAAAAGGAAGGCACCGACGCAAGGGGCGGGGGTAAACCGCTACCCAGAAGCCTCTGGGACCCACGCGCGGCGACGCATGAGGCGCCTCGGAGTGACGTCACGAGGCGCTCAGCCAATGACGACGGCGGAGAAACCATTGACCCCCCCCCACCCCCTCCCCCTCTCAGGCAGCTTCTGCGGCAAAGGCGAAGGGCAGTAGTACCGGAACTGGCTGCTCTTACAGCGTGGGGCGAATGTCCCCCAAAACTCGTGGCGCGATGGACCAAGCAAGCCCAAGGGGACATCTGTCTTCAATACCGGGGGCTCCCATCATGCCACACGACGCCTACAGCTCCCAATATACAGCGCGGCCGCCACGCGCGGGACGTATCCTTTGCCCGCGAACCACAAGTCCCATGGTACACCGCTGCCGGAAGTGGCCTGTGCCACCGGCCTACGCGGAACTGCACGTGGGCCCGGGCGGAGGGTGCTGGCCGTAAGCTCGCCCTGAGCCTTTGGCGATTCCCCCGCCGCGGCGACCCGTTGTCCCATGTCCCGCCGGGCTCAGTGAGGTGAGCCAGCCGCCTCGGACTTAGCGACTGCGGCCCTACCTGGGAGGCCGCCCCCGCCATGCGGGGCCAGGGCGTACTGCCAGAGGACGAGCGCGAGCCTCAGTGACCAGGAGAATGTAGGGAGGCAGCGTCGCCCACGCACCCCGGGAGGGGTGAGGTGCGAGTGGGCAGCCCCTGCGCCGGCCGCTTCGGCCCAGAACTGACCTCGGTGTCCACGTGGACATCAGCATATCGGGGAGCCTGCCGCACTCTGGGGTCCTGGGAGGGAACAGGGCTGGCCCTGCCTCCTAAGAACAGGAGTTCGTGTGCGAGGACACAGGAAGCGAATGAAGGAAGCGATCCGAGGGACAGGGACAGAGAGGGAATTGGGCTGGGCAGCCTGAGAAAGCTGCCACGAGGCAGTGTCCTTGAGCTAAAAGGTGAAAAGGAGCCGACCCTGCCAATATCTGGGGCACGCACCAGAGGGGTCAGATGCGGATACCTGAGGTGTCACGCAGGCAGCGCCAGCTCGCGTGGGGCTCAAACAACAGTGGGGCATACATCAAGCACTGGAACTCGAACTTCACAGTTGCCTTCAGTGGCCTCATTACCCCTTCGTAGATGAGGAAGTTGGGTACAGAAACGTTTTCTGGCTCGGGGTCACACATCTGGGGTAAAGGCGGGAAACCACCTTGGGAACAATGGGACTTTTTAAATTTTTTAATTTTTGAGACTGGGCCCCATTCTGTCGCCCAGGCTAGAGTGCAGTGGCTCCATCACAGCTCACTGCAGCCTCAGCTTCCTGGGCTCAGGTGGTCCTCCCACCTCAGCCACCACACCCGGCCAACATTTTTTGGTGTTTTTGGTAGAGACGGGGTTGCCCAACATAGGCTCAAGTGATCCTCCCACCTGGGCCTCCTACAGTGCCGGGATTACAGGTGTGAGCCACCATGCCTGGCCAGCATGGGACTTTTGTAATCACAAAGGGAAGCTATTCAGTGTCTTGAGCCAGTCCCTTCACATTGCTCTGCCATCGCCCATACCAACTCTTTTTTTTTTTTGAGGAGTCTCACTATTGTCCAAGTTGGAGGGCAGTGGCGTGATCTTTGCTCATTGCAATCTCCACCTCCCGGGTTCAAGCAATTCGCCTGCCTCGGCCTCCCTAGCAGCTGGAACTACAGGCATGCCTCACCACACCTACCTAATTTTTGTGTTTTTAGTAGAGATGGGGTTTCACCATGTGGTCTAGTCTGGTCTTAAACTCCTGACCTCAGATGATCCGCCCGCCTTGGCCTCCCAAAGTGCTGGAAAAACAGGCACAAGTCACCCACCGGGCCTGGCCCCATCTCACTTTTTTTTTTATTAACCCAAACAAACTCCGTACCCATTAAATTCCTATTCCCTACGCCCCCAGCCCTTGATGATAACCACCATTCTACTTTCTGTTCCCGTGATTCTGACAACAGTAATACCCCTCGAGTAAAAGTGAAATCATACGGTATTTTGCTTTTTGTCTGGTCTCTTTCATTCAGCTTATTTTCTTTTTTTTTTGGGACGGAGTTTCGCTCTTGTTACCCAGGCTGGAGTGCAATGGCGCGATCTCGGCTCACCGCAACCTCCGCCTCCTGGGTTCAGGCAATTCTCCTGCCTCAGCCTCCTGAGTCGCTGGGATTACAGGCACGCACCACCATGCCCAGCTGATATTTTGTATTTTTAGTAGAGACGGGGTTTCACCGTGTTGACCAGGATGGTCTCGATCTCTTGACCTCGTGATCCACCCGCCTCGGCCTCCCAAAGTGCTGGGATTACAGGCTTGAGCCACCGTGCCCAGCCATTCAGCTTATTTTCAAATTTTAAGTAGCTACCTAAAAGGAAGCCCCTAAGTCTAATGTAACTAGAGAAATGTTTACATGGGCCAGGCTTGGATTACAACCTGGGAGCACAGATTCAGGTTGCCCAGAATTTACACTTGGATGAGCAGCAGTTTCAAGTCAATTTTTATTTTTTATAATTTTAATTTTTTTTTTTTTTTGACACAGGATCTTGCCATGTCATCCAGGCTGCTCTCCAACTCCTGACCTCAGGTGATCCACCCACCTTGGCCTCCCACAGTGCTGGGATTACAGCGTGTGCCACTGTGCCTGGCCTGTAATTTAATCTTTTGTAGAGATGGAACCTTGCTGTGTTTCTGAGGCTGGTCTCAAACTTCTGGCCTCAAGCTGTCCTCCTGCCTTGGTGTCTCAAAGTGGTAGGATTACTGGTGTGAGCCACTGTGACCTACAAGTGGATTTTTTTTTTTTTTTTTTTTTTGCAGACGGGAGTCTCGCTCTGTCACCCAGGCTGACGTACAGTGGCATGATCTGCGGTCTCAGCTCACTGCAGCTTCCACCTCCCAGGTTCAAGTGATTCTTCTGCCTCAGCCTCCCCTGCAACCCAGGTACCTGGGATTACAGACGTCCACCACCACACCTGGCTAATTTTTTTTTTTTTGAGATGGAGTTTCACTCTTTGTTCAGGCTGGAGTGCGATGGCACAATCTCGGCTCACCACAACCTCCACCTACCTGGTTCAAGCGATTCTCCTGCTTCAGCCTCACAAGTAGCTGGGATTATAGGAGTGCACCACCACACCCAGCTATTTTTGTATTTTTAGTAGAGACAGGATTTCTCCACGTTGGTCAGTCTGGTCTTGAACTCCCAACCTTGGGTGATCCGACACCTCAGCCTCCAAAGTGCTGGGATTACAGGCGTGAGCCACTGTGCCCGGCTTAATTTTTGTATTTTTAGTAGAGACAGGGTTTCACCATATTGGCCAGACTGGTCTCAAACTCCTGACCTCGTGATCCGCCTGCCTCAGCCTCCAAAGTGCTGGGATTACAGGCGTGAGCCACTGTGCC